GAGAGACAAACTTTCAGCCTTTGGCCGTATCATTTCGGCCTCTGAAATTGGCGACCCTGTAGTTCAATCACCAAGTGAATTAGTAAGAGTTAGCAAAAATGATGAGCTTTAAACAATCCTTCTTTAAGTGATAAGAGATATTTTTAAGAGGAAAAAATCTCATTCTTACATATCTTTTCAAAAACATAATGCATAAAACACATAAAAATAAGTGGAAAATGAAGAGAAAATCATAGAGAACAATCTAAATGAACTTATATGAATAATAATTAAATAAAATCGATTTGTATTGATGGAACTGATAAAGGAATGGCTGAAATTGAAAAAGAAGATAGTGAAATAAGGACTTGAAGTATAAGTTCCAGTAAACATTTGTGAAAATGTAACAATAAAACGTAAATTAACATGTTCATTCAAAGATGAGGTGCAAATTCATCGTGTTGTAAATTTTGAGATCGAATGTTGCGATTTATTTTCAGCAGTAAGAAGTTGTCATACTCAAACCTTTCTTCAGTAAGAACAGTACTAATACGAACATAAAAGTGATTTGATAAAATATTCAACGAAAGATTTCTGAAGGTATGCATTATTCAGACCAATTCAAGTTTCGCGAACTCTAGATTTGTGATTCTGATTTATGAGTGCATAATCCACATAAAGTTATAATCCACACTACTCGAATAAATTTATCTGTTTGTCTAAAAATTTTATTATAAATAATGCTTTGGACGACCAAATTCAATTTATTTTTAAAACTAGATATTGCAAATAGTGCTTCTGAAGGCAATTTATATCATTACGATTAAAATAAAAGGCGGCCCCATATTATTTTGAATATAAAACTTTTATTTTTAATAATTATTCAATGAAATTTTATAAAATTGGAACTAAAATACTTAAAAATAAAAAGTATTGTGAAATCATTCGCACTAAAAATAGAAAAAAATACCTGAAAAAAAGATCAAATCTGAGTGGAACTTATTTCAAGCACGAGTACCCCTCCCCATAAGATTCATTTGAGTTTTTCTAACCATTACTTGACTTCTAGGACCTTGTCTCGTTTTCTGACCTATTTTTGAAGAAGCCTATTTTTAGAAAAACTTCGTGGTCTCCCAAAAATTGGTTAGTTAAACCACATTGTTAAAATTATATTAAAATTATGTCATGAGATATTCTGGCAGTCTCGCTGAAGATATATGTATATATAGTAAATTTATTATATAGAATCAAATAAATCATTATTTCTACAACTTTCGCAGCCAATTGATGCAGAAAAAAAGCTTCCTCCAAAATAAATTGCGGAGCATCTTCTGCAAAAAATCTTATTTGATGGCAATTTGCTGTTGCACGTATCTCTTCCAAATCTCAACTCGCATAAATCTGATTAATTATTAAATAAATAGATAGCTTATTAGCGATAGGAAAAGGAATAATAAAGCAAGAAATATTGGAAATAATCCATAGCACGAACGAGGAGCAAGAATTGAACTAATATTCAAAAACCAAAATATTTATCTGATTTAGCGCCTCCAGAAAAATCGTTTACGTCAGAAAAGTGATCTTTTAGCGCAATCAATTGTGATATGATTTTAGGGAAACGAATTGCTATAGCATAAAAAGTTATACCACATCAAAAGTATTTGTTAAACATTCTTTTAATAATAATAATCTTAGATGTCTTCCATTCGAATTCCGAATTTAAAAAAGCTGGAGAATAATTATTAAGTTTCATTACAAATTTTTGGATTATTTTTTGGATTAAATTTTCTATAAAATCATTTTTTTTAGATTTTTTTCGCAAAAATGAATGGTGAAAACTGAGTCAGCATAAATTCATTTCATTTTTAATATTTGAATATTTAATAATAAAGAAAAGCAAAAATGCGTTTGAGTTGCACTTGCCTGGCAAACTATCTATTTTCATTAACAATAATAAAAAATTTAAAAATTACTATCAATGATCAACAAGAAATAATTATTGAACAAGCATTGATGGAAGAATGCTATGAAAATTCTAGAAGAGTATCAAGAAAATTGTGCTAGCATGTAATGCTAATGAAGTTGGCCTCATCAGGATCAATAATTGTCATCTGCGCACGTTTAAAAAGCATGGCCGGAATTGATAAGTTGCCAGTATTTTTTTGGCTTAATTCTTATTTAAAGTAGAACAATTACCCATACCATATGTGAAGGTTGATCAGAAGGCAGCACAAGCAGTGCTCAACAGCAAATTCTGTGTACATCCATAGGCAATCGTCAATGAAATTTAAGTTAAAAATTAAATTTGAGAAATAATTAATTCGTGCTTGATATCATCTCTGTTCGAAATTAATAGTGCTCCACTCTATTTATTATTTTAGCAAAAAAAGGATCATTTATTGATGACGAAAGTTTATAAAGCAGAGAATTTTACTGTTCCTTCTTCTACATGAAAGCGATATGATCAAATTTTGATCGTAGATTGCTGGATATCTATTTTTAAATCCTGGATATCTATCTTTTATAAGGATTTTAAATCCTTCAAAACAGTTAACTTTTCTATATTTTAGCTGTAATGAATTTAACTATAAATTTTCAGCTAAAAACTACGCATTATAGAACTGTTAAATCAAAATGAATTTTCAAAGTTCTCACTAAAGAAACAAAAAACTGGTATAATTATGTATTTACCGACAATTTTACGAAACTCAAACAATTTCTATTTGCAATTGTAAAGTAGCATAAGCAGCTTATAATAAAAAATACTTCTTAATTAATCGCTTTTTTCCTATAATATAATAATCGATGAAATCACAACGAATTCGATATTGAAATATTGAGAAATATTGCAATTTATTACAGAACTTCGATAAACTGATGTGTAGTAGCGCAATGATTGGGCAGACTCTGTTTAGAGAATCTGTACAGCTTGATGTGTCGAATGATGGGTTGTTTCAACTAAGCTATCAAAGGTTAGGTAGGTCTTTTGGGAGTTGCAAATTTATGAAATATTAATGGGGCTGAAGAAGTATCGGAACTTCTATTCGCACAGTCTTTGATGAAGCGAGTACTCTAATAGCCAGCTACAAGGCAGTCAAGCCAGAGGTAAAAAAAAGTAGCTGGATATCACCAGTGATATTGAATTAGGAAAAATTTAATTACCACATAAACGGCAAAATTTTTATTCAGTTGAAAACAATTATAAACCAACTGGGAAAATTAATTTATTAAATAAACGAAACTAAGAAACTAATCAGCCTTAAAAAAGGAAAAGGGGAATAGAAATTAAATAATTGCAGTACTGTAGTTTAAGGAAGAATTTCCCGTCATAAAAAATATGGTAGTTTTCTCTCTTATGGTAGAATTTGTCTATATTAATTTAATCGACAAAATCACAAATATTGTAAGTTCAACGAATTACAATTGATTACAGCTAGAATTCTGCATATCATTTGCCCAATATTGCGCATCATTACTGGTTAGACTTATTCCACTGACGTGACGCTTTTCAAACGTGCTCAGTTCTACACTATTATTGAGAATAAAAGAACCCACTTCTTTCTTTCATCGTCTAGTGGGCAGCTTATAAGTTCGAAATCTCTCCTAGTCTCTCCTATTACTTCAAGAGAGTGGGTCGTTCTTGCTTTAAAGCCATTCATATATTAATTTAAAAAAAAAGGAATATATCAGTTCTGGCGACCCCCAAAGAAAGCTCTTATAACAAAGTTGCAGTAACAAAACGAAAATTCTCATAAAATTTATGCTAGATTACACATCTTATATATTTTCAAAAAATTTTGTATCTAATTATTTCGGAAGTGATTTTGTCAATCTCGTAATACAATATAGGAAGTAGGACGATCTCAGTGATTTTGCACCACAGTTCGCTTTTCCTCTTTTTATAAATTTGTAAAATAATTTTATTTCGCTTTTTTTGTAAGCATTTTCTTTTTTGTGACCAATATTTAATGTTCCATCAATGATTGTGAGAAACTCTTTCTGCGCTGATTGTAAATATTTTATTGTTTTGTTTTTTTTCAAGATATCGTCCTAAATAGGAAACAAATAAGAAAAAGAAACTTATTTACATCAGTTAGAATACCTTAAAGGAAGATTTCAGGCGAAATTTAAAATTAAAAGAAATTGATTTATTTTTCTTATTTATTATTATTTTCTTGAAATTCTTTGCAATTAGCGGTAGCCTTAGAATTTGCATATTTTTGGAAAAGTTTGACGTGTACTGCAAAAATTCTTAATAGAGAATAATCTCATTAAACGTGGCAGACCATTTGCTTAGGACGTGTGCATTAATCTTAACGGACAAATGGAAAACTTTTTGCTTGATTGGTGCAAATTTTCTGAATTAATGTTCTGATTCTCATAATTGCTTCTCATCATTCTCTATCTGACGCATCTATCTGATTCTATCTAAAATTAATGATTTTAAGGAAACTTTTAAATTCATTTGACAACGTATGAGAGTGTCGTCAGAATCTCACTCGCTTATTGGTTCCGACGACTATGAAAGAATAGATGCAGCCATATATTTTTTGCGCTGCCAAGTTTGCTTTTTTTAACAATTTTTTTCGAAATAATTTACTTCCTGATAAATATTTCTCAATTGTTAATTAGCAATGTTTCCTTTTTACTAATTCCTTTATAATACTTTCTTGCGTGATCTCAAATCGACCTTTTAGCATACTTTCAGATGAAACAAGCAAATATAAGTAGTTTTTCTTACATGAGTTGAATCGAAATGAAGAAATTGTCGCATAAAGGTGCTTAAGAAACTTTATTAATATGTCTTCCAGAATTGGTCATTTCGCCGCTATTACTCTAAAATATATGAGCAATATTCGAAGCCTTTAGAGAAGCTGAAAGAGGGATCTACTTCAAGCAACAGTATTGTTTTTGATTTTTTTTATCATATTAGCTATTATAATTATTTAAAAAATTAATATTAAAAAATTAAAAAATTAATAATAAAAATAGGATTATATTATAAAGTAAAATGGTTAAGAATGCTTAAAAATTCGTTAAAGAATAGTAAAATTTGCCAAAAAACTTAGGTAAAATCACAACTTTCCTTTGTTATAAAATTCATTTCTCTTAAAACCGGTAATTTCTATGTCGCAAATGATTTTTTTTCAAATTATATCAATCTTATCTGTAATTTACCTTGAAAATTTTTTCAAAAAGCATCTATAGTTGTAAAAAATGCTGATTGCTAATTTAGATTTTCTTTATTTTTTTTTTCTTGTAATATGGACTTTCCTTTATGAGCTGATTTTTTTTTGATAACGATAACAGATAACAGATTTTTTTACAAAGATTCATCAATAATTTCTGAAATCCAGATTTGAAATAAAATTTGCGCCAATTTATTAAGATTTATAAGAAAGTGTAGTTAAAAAGGATAACAAATTTTTGACCATTGTTACCTTCATATAATAGAAGTACAAATAATTTTATTGTAGATGCTATCAGTATTAAAACACACCAAAAGGATGAATGTGAAGCATCAGACGGCGCATTTAACGAAGTGGATACTCTAGTTGACCAGATGAGAGGTAAAATCTGAGATTTTCTGGAGTAGGTTAGTAGAAAAGTTGTTTTCTTGATATTTTTAAAAAATAACTATATAGGCTGAATTTTTTTAGCTCTCATTATTACTGGTTAGATTTGCTTGTCACACTGGATAAATATGCCAGGGAGTCCCTTAGCATTACAGATGATATCTATGGACAGGTTTTAAAATTGTACCTGTCGGGAGTAAAATTTTCAATATTGGTGTATTGAGCAATAAAGAGCTATTATAGTTTTTCTCCTTTAAGAGATACTGCTGCCCGACATAGAGTGATGGATCGGGAAGTTCGAATCTAAGTTTCCATTCGATAGCAATTATCTGGAGTGGAGTGGAAATGAAGAATAAATAAAAATAGATAATTTTTAATTTTTTCGTATTAATTTTAAAAAAGTAACTGTAAATAATATGAAAGGTTCATGTAAGAAAATTTTTTATTAGTTCAATCCGATTCACTTTCCAATGTTTATTTTTCTTCTGATTCGAATTTTTTCCTGTTTTCAGCTAAACTAGAAGCTTTGAGAGGTGATACGCAACACTGCACAAAAACTCATAATTATAAAACATTCTTGGCGGAAAGCTGTGCTAGTTATAGACTTAGAAGGCTGGTTTCAATGTCCAAAAAGTTTCATAGAATCGAAAAAAAGCTTTTGAAGTAAGTTTGTAGTTCATCCATTTGCTTAGACTTTTCCATATTTTAACTTCTTCCTCGACATTAAATTTAATAAAAGATTTTAAGTTGGATGGATGAAAATTCAAATATAATAAAACAGCAAACGACCAAATTGATCGAAATTTTGCCATTGGCACTCACAATGTATGAAATGACAAATGCACTCAAAGAAATTTTCGTTTTAATTTCTGTCCCAAAAATTGAAATCCTCCAAATTAAGGTGGTGCTTCTTCAATGTGAAGCATAATCTGCTTTATTTTTAGGCTCATTTCGTCAAATTTGCTTTAGATTACTTACAAAAATCATTTATCAAATTTAGATAATAAAATTTACCATGAATTCATATAAATCAGATTGATAGGTTAGGGACTATGCTTTGTAGAGGTATTTGCGAGAATTTGCAAATTTTTCCGCATTAATTTTAAGAAAATAAGTAATTGTAGATAAATAAATAAACGAATTCATTAAGGAAAAGTGCTATAAAATTATTTGTATTCATAGTTAATCTCATTTGCTTTTCTGAGAAATGCTTCTGAGAAATATTTATTTTTGATTTATTTCCTTTGGAAAATAGAAGTGATCGTCTTTCTTTAACGATATTCTTAGTCATTAGTCTGAATTTATACAACCAAAGAAATATACTCACGCGAAAAACAATTTTTAGCCGATCTACAGGAAATATCTCAGACCGCAAGAAGAGAAAACAGAAATTCTGAATGAATCAAAGCAAACACAAAATGATGAAAAGGCACTCATAAGAAAACTCGAGGGACAAATAAATCATTACCGGTGAATCTTCCAAGAAATTATGGATATAACAATTAAAAATATTCACTTTCTGAACCTAAATTTTTTATAGTTCATAGAATTATTTTTAGAATGCAGAAAATACACTGTAATTTAGGATTTGCATTTGCAATAATATGAAAATATCAAAGATATTTAATACATGAATATAATATAATAGTTTAATATAATAGTATGAATAACAGTATGTATGGATATAATAGTTTTATAATTTCTACTTTTTTTTAGCACAGTGGTAAATGAAATTGGTAAAAGTTTGGAAATGCTAATCGACACAATAAAAAAGACAATTGAGGACAATAAATTAAAAAAATATGAGGAGAAAGTTTGTAATTATATCGATAATTTAACAACGAGTTAAAGCTGGTTTTGAAGAAAACTTCTATGAAAATCTTTGCTGCAAAACGAATTTTCCACCAAATTTCAAATACTAAATAAATTTTCTACATTGTCAACAAAATATATCAAATGATAAGGGCGTGATAAAAGATAACACTTTGAAATATAATAAAGTAGGGAAATATTGTCAAATTTAAAAAAATATTCTATTCTTTATCCAAAAGGAATATTTTCCAAGTACTTTTTTTGCAGATTCAATTGATACTAAATGAACTACCACCACCATATCGTTTCGCCAGCTCTGTGAAGCTTTCAAATTTCAATTCGCTACTTTTAGCAAATCCACCACCAAATTTGAAGCGTTTTTCACTTTTCGGCGATTTGGTTAGTCTCTAAAAATAATTCCTTTTTTTTCCAGCTTACATTTGCATTTTTACTAATATTCAGTGAAAATTAGGATTTTATCAAGTTGCAGCTTTTGCTTAATTTATATTCTCCTTTAAAAGAAATAAAAATAAATAATAAATGCTTAAATCATAGATCGAAAGGGTCGTGGATGGAGATGTCTTCACCTCAGCTATGCAGAGTGAAATATAAAAAACATTAAAAATGAATTATGCTTGTGCTAGGTTAATGCGATCAAAAAAGAATGAAAATATGTAAATTTTGCCAATAAATTATGCCAATGTTTAGCAAATTTTATGGGTTTATCACAAATTCAGATGAATCTCGCAAATTTTATAAATTTTTCTAATAAATTTTTATAAATAAAAAATTTTCAAATTTTTTCCAACTTCCAATTTTTCTAACTTTTTTTCTAGTCATTTTTTCATTCTTCGGATCACTTATAGCTGCATTATTTTCCTGAAAATTTTTTTTTTTGCTTACTTTTACATTCCTTGTCAGAATATTTTCTTCTATCTCGTTCCCAAATATTTTTTTTCATAAAATCTCTCTCAGGCCCAATAAGATAAAAAATATTAAAACTGATATATAAAAACATAGAAAAATCTATAGAACAGAATTAATGAGTAAGTTTTATCAAAACTAAAAAAAACTTTCCCAAATTGAGAAAAAAGAAAGCTTTAGAATAGAATAACATTGGGAGACTTCTATAAGCAGGATAGCCGGGTGGATAATGGTTGATTTAGATTATCATATTAAGACACAAGAATATTGCCAATAGGAGGTGTGGACCTGTCATGGCACTAGCATCCATCTGTATTTTTATTTCTAAGTGGACTCTCTGGAGAAAATTTCTAACCATGCTAGCAACAAGATGAGTTTGCAAAATCAGAAATATTGAGCATTAACCACTTTATCGCAAGGAGTTTCAGAAAAACATTCCATACCATAATTTTCATCACTAGCAAACTGAAAATCACGTTTAAAATTTTTTAGATTATAAATTATTGTGGAAATGAAAAAAAAGGATCAATGCAGCTAAAAACTACTGAAAGTTCATCAAATAATTCACTTCCTAACATCTAACATTTGCTCTCGCAAATCGGACTCCTAAAAAGCGAAAATTCATGAGTTCACCCTCATGAGTATTTAAACATATACATTCGAAAAGCTGCACACGTACAACAAAGTTTCCACTGTAACTCTAAAAAATCCGTCCAGTTGAAACTAGGAATCATTTCCAACTTTTTTCTCAAAAATGTGCTTTCCAACTTTTCTAATAAAATATAGCATTATTTAATGAAGTTCGAAAGCCAAAAAAATTCAAAAAAAATTAAACTATTTGATCGAATAATCATTAAAAAAATTAATTATATTTATAAAATGGCTAGGCGAGAATGGAAGGACAGTGGTAATACATAATAATCATATTATTCGCAATATGATATTATCAACTTCAATGACCTCACACTTATAAAAGGAAATGGAAATAGATTGGATGGATTTAGGAGTTTCAAGAAAATGAATATATTTATCAACAGAAGTTTCGAAATTAGCGAAAATCAGCACTAAATTAAAGGGTCGGAAAATGGAGTGATAGATTGCTTCGATTTAAAAGGAGCCGAGCCAGCATAAGTACGATTCACAACGAGAGTTCTATCATTGAGTAGCATTAAGGACGTACATTAGGATTAAAAAATACGCATATTAAATTCCTTAAATTCTAAAGTAAATCTCTGACAAAGAGTCCTTGCGTCCTCTCAATTCTTATCGGCGCAAGTCTGAAATGGTGAAAGCAGTTGAAACAGAAAGATAACTCCGAATTTTTTAATGAGATGAGATGAGAATTTATTTGGTACTTGAAGTTGGCTAATTTTTGATACAAGCAAAGTTTCTAAGACTTTTATCAAAAATAGCCAGGCTAGAGACTTTAAACAACAGAAGATTTAAAAATGGCTAATTTTACTAAAGATTGTATTATTTTTATGCTTTAATCTAAATATATTTTAGTATTGGTTAAATTATTGCTGTCTGTTGATGAATTAAATACCTTTTGCAGAAAATAATAGATGAATACTATCCACTGCCATGATCAAATGCAAACTTGAATTTGATATAAGTCAAACAAGTTTCATAATTGATATTAAAGGTGCAAAACAAGATTAAAACAAATGGTTTCAAGCCATTGTGATTTCATTGATCTCACGGATATAAATATAAAAATGTACTTCGAATTTTTGTTCACATCTTTCTTGGCCGTTAAATTTTTCTTAGTAACTTAGTATTTAGTTTCTTAGTATTCACGAAATGCTACCAACATTATTTATTATTTGCAAATAGCATATTGCTTGGATTGAAGTTAAGCATCATGGGTTTGGTTATTTTCTTTTCTTTTCTAGCTATGTACATGCTGTTCTGCCATTCATATAAAACCTTAGTGGTACTACAGATCTATTTGTACCCCTATTTCCAGTGACTCTCATCGAAGTAATAAGTGGAACCAAACCAGAAATGATAAGCACTGATAAAAAAAAAAGAAGAAAAATATTTTTGGCTCTTTATTTTCCAGATCAATTGAGCAATCTTGTTTCATATAAATTTTTACAAACGGATATTTTCAAATTAAAAAAGTATTTTTCTGTTATAATTATTTTTTTATCTTAAGAACTATTAAACTTGGTTGAGATGTTGGACAAAGGGCAGATCGCAACCATATTTGCAACGACTTTTAGTGTAAGCATGACTATTGCATGTGCTATTTTCGTTTGCGTGGTTTATCGAGATATTTCATTAATGTACTATGATATGATGGAAGAAGCGATGAACTTTAAGGTAAGGATCTTAATTCTAAATCTTTGTTGACTGACAATGAATGATCTTTTCTTTTATTAGGAAACCACCGATGAAGCTTGGAATCATTTGATGAATTTGAAGCTCAGTAAAGACCATACTCATAACAGCTACAGTTTTGGCAATATTTTCCGCCAGAAACGACAAAAAGAATTACCGTCTTACTGCCGTGAGTGTACATTTTTAGGTTTATTGAATGCCAGGTTCAAATTTTATTTGGGACTTATAGGACCATCTTCAAGAGCTCTTTTTACTGCAACCAAGAATTGATTCTTTTGTTATTGTTATGATAAATCGACAAATTTTAGCTTATGCTCCTTTTGATGAACAACTTTTAAAATTCTTGGCTAATTTCTTTAAAATTAATTAATAATATTAATTACTCCAGCAACTAAAAAATTTTTCATATTTTTAGAATGCGATATTGTGTCACCAAAATGTCTGACAGGACCACCGGGATCACCAGGAAACGATGGCATTAATGGAGGTGATTATGGCATAATGCCTAATCATTTTAATTTATTAAGCGGCAAGCCTAACTCTATCTTTTTCAGACGAAAGATTTAAATTTTACAAAAAAAAGCCTAACGCAATAAAACACATTCAAAACTATTATAAAAGAGTTAAATATAAAATAATTATAATAAATATAATATAAATAATTTCATACGATTAAAATAATTTTCATAATTTTGAATGAATTTTTGCAGAGAATGGCCTTCCTGGTCCACCAGGTCTTCCTGGAGCACCAGGATTGAATAATTACAGGCAAAAATGTGTCGTTTGCCCACGAGGACCACCTGGTCTGCGAGGCTCCCCCGGACCTAAGGGAGCTCCAGGACCATTTGGCGAAATTGGTGCTAATGGAACTGTAAAAATGATAGGTGATTATGGGCCACCAGGACCACCTGGTGACAGAGGTCCACCAGGTAGATATTTTTGTTAATTGTACTACGAAATCTGGTGGAAAAAACATTACCAGATTCACAAAAAAACAAAAGCAAAACTTTCAAATAATAAAATTTAGGTTTGAAAGGCCCACCAGGAACAATCGGCTCACGCGGAGAAAAAGGAGTTCGTGGAATTCGTGGCTATCCAGGACAAAAAGGACCTATAGGACCAGCAGGATTTCCAGGCCCAAAAGGACTACCTGGATTGTCGAAAGATGGAAGACCAGGAAACGTCGGACCACCGGGACTACCAGGTCGCCGTGGTTTTCCGGGACCACGAGGTCCCGACGGAGAAGTAAATAATTTACAATTCTACTTAATTCTTTCTTCTTCTGTCTTATTTTTTTATTAGACAATTAATCCATTCTCAGTGGTCAGTCGTCGACGAAACAAGAAATTTTTTAAAATAAGCTCCAAGACCTCGAAAACTTATATACTATTTACTATTTTTATCTACTATTTTTGCTATCTTAAATCTATTGTTTTATCCATCTTTCAAATTTTAAATTTTAAACCCATGTTTACAAAACTCTAAGCTTTGACTCCAGATCGGAGCACAAGGAATTCCTGGCGCAGATGCATCATATTGCCCATGTCCAAAGAGATCACCGAACATGCAAAAGCCATACGTTGCTGGATATGAAACGCCATAAAATGATTCCTTGAATAAATAATTAAGAAAAAATAAGTATTTTTAGAGTAGAAATCAGTCGTCTTTATTTGGCTTAATCTTGCTTTTATCATCATAATCAGTAAACATTAGCCAATTGTGGATGTTAGGGGAGGTAAAAGAACAGAGAGAGAGGTGTGCAAACTTAGGGCAAATTACTGATTCAGCTGGTGGGGTGCGTCACAAAAAAACTGGTTTCTGCAATTTCAACGAGACGTCTAAATCATTTTATCTTACATCCGCTCTTTTGATTAAATTGTTAAATTATGTAATTGTGTTTGGCACAGTATAAAATAAATTTACATGGATATAACGTGAAATCGTTGATCGTTTGGATTTTTTTCATTACTTCCTTTACACAACAAATTGCTATTCGCGGTGTATATGCAAATCTACGATGATAGTAAAGCTCGAAGAGCTTCTGCTTTATCCGTAATCCTTCATTTGAAATCTGGAAATAATCGCATAGCCATCCATGCAGAATGACGAATCCTCCGCACTTCTCTAGGACTCCCATGCAAGTTAATACAAATATGAATAGAAGGCTTCCTTGAATCTGCCGTAGTCCTTTTTATCCCGTGCAAGCGCAAACGATTCCAAAATTTATGAGTATGACAACTGAAAGAAAAAATAGCGAGGCTAGGTGCAGTTAAGCAAATGTTTAACGGGATTTAAGGCTTTCCACAAAAAAATTTAGATTCTGCGGAAAGTGGATTTCAACAGTGGCGATTTCATAGCTTAAAGCCTTAAGGCCTCAGCTCAGTGTTTGTTTCTGGAGACACAATTTGCGAAATGGTGAATGGTCTCCTACAAAATATTCATAACATTTCATCTTGAAAAGTGATGGAAAAATAAAAAAAACACTGCTATTTTACTGCTATTTATCACAAATTTGTATTAAATTAAGCATATATTCTTCTAAAAAACGGAGTATAAAAACACCAAATTTGTTTGAAAAGAATGAGTTCCCTTCAAACCATTGGAAACCATGAGAGAGAAACCTTCGGTAAACCTTGGAAAACGGCACCAACTTTATTTTCCTTCGGGAAAAAGGTTGCGATCCGCTCGCTTAGGATCTTTTCGACAAAATAGTTTCATGGATAGTGACAAGCCACAGAGATTGAATGGTATCGAAATTTAACTTGCACGAAGTTTGAATATTTGAACAATAATTACCAGTTGCAACCAGCTAAATATATTTTAATTTCGGTAGGATGACGATAGCTAGGAGAAATGACGAGGGGATGGTGCGAGGGGGCACTTAGTTTCAGGGGATTTTCCGCGACTATCATTTAAGTTCATTAAGTCATTTCGCTAACTGACTTACTCACTTACTTCCAAATCAGTAAGTGATTTTCAGCCGTTTGGCGCATTGGGTTTTTCACCATTTCGTTAGCGAATACATTGTTCAGGTTTATAATAAACTGAAGTTTTAATAAATTTCTCGTTAAGTTTTGCACATTTTTTTTACCTCGTGGATTTGAATTTTAGCTCGTTTCACCTTTTCTGGCTTGGTCCCGGTTCCATTGTTTAATAGTGGTGAAGTCCATTCGTTGTAAAGTCATATAAAAATAAAAGTACAGATTGGTCCTCAGCGCCCGGTTCTCTTTTGATCATAGACTTTTATTTGTCAAAAATAAGAATCGAACCTTTGCTTCTCGGAGTAATATGCGACTGGATCATATCATTAATTGGTGATAAGACAATATCGCGACGAACTGTTTTGCAGTTGAATTATTTTGGTATTTTCCGAAGCTTTTTTTTTCATAATTTTTCAAAATTTTTAATAAATTCGTTTTAAAAAATCGAATTGTCCGCATGATCGACAAGAAATTTGAAATTGCTTTTATATTTTTATTGATTCATATTTGCAGGTAAAAAATAATCGTTCATTTTGGAAATTGTTAAAGATAAGCAATTTAAACGGAAATGTTTTTATTATCGTCTCATGTAAAGTCATTTTTATCATCGTTTTATCGTTCGCGACCTTTCTTGCAAATAGGAATTTTTTTAATAGTGGCAGGTAAACATTTCGAGTATTGTTCCATTGTCACATAAAATAAAACTAATTAAGAAATACAGTCAAAGGTTTTGCCACTCGAGCCAAGATTAAGGTTAAGCGAAGTGGTGAAGGTTAAGGAATTAAGATGATTAATTAATTAAGATGATTAGAGGTAAGTGATTGGAAATTTTAGAAATTTTCGATTTTTTCCTTTAATCGGAATTTTTTGCTGGAATTTTTCAGTAAAAAAAAGTTTCTTTTTTATCTAAGGTTTTCTTTTTCCTTGATTTCTGAGATTTTAATGCATTGCTGGATTTTCTTTTTTATTTTCTTTAAAGTTTTTTACTGAGAAGAAGTTTATTTTTTAGTTTATTTTTAGTTAATATTTAAAAAGTAAAAGATTATTTGAGGTGCATTTTTATCGATATTTGATTCAACGTTTGCTGTTTTCACACTAAGAGGATCACAGTTGGTTAATGCTGAAATTTGGCGAATATTGACACATTCATTCCTTGAACGAAATATTTTTTTAATTATGTTGTCAATTTGGTGTCTTTATCGAGCATTTTTAATGTTCGAAACTGATTGGGGTACATTGGAACTTATCAAATTTTTGCTTATTGTGCAGGTTTATTATCCTTTCAATTTTTTTCAGTTAATTTCAATTTATATTTATTTACTTGTTCGGCATTTTCTGTAACACTTTTAATATTTTTAATATTTATCTTTATTACAGTATTCATTCAAATTATTTGGTAAAACTTTAATTAATTTCAGATACTTTCATCATTTCTTGTTGCTGCAATTACTTTACTGATATATTTATTAGCTTATGAGTATTTTTTCTTTTATTACATGGATATAATTGGTTTAGCATCAGCATGTGCTGGCATTCTTGTTGCTATAAAACAAGTAAGTGTCGGAAGCTTTTTATATTTGTTCCCAATTAGTAAGCAGATCAGTAAAAAAATTAGCAAAATAATAAATTATGAAAAGACAGAAAAAGAATTTAAAAAGAGTGAATCAGTGAAGAATTTAAAGAGAGTTAAACAGAATTGTCATAGTTCTATAAATTTATTATCATTATAGAAGAATCTAAAGTAAACATTGAAATCTCTTTGCTTTATTAAGAGCTGAATGGTATTTTCAATTTTCAGTTTTAATTTTAGTCATTAATATTCTAAAGTTGGCTCTTTTTTTGGTCGTGGTAACTATTAATAATTATCAGTAATCAGTAATTAAAATGTTCGACTCATTAATAGACGCATAAAATTCAAAAGGAGCATAAACAAAAGGAGAATATAATTCTTTTGAATATGTAGTTGTTCATTCATTTATAGAAATAATGCAATATAATGGATACAAATTTTACACAGAAATTAAATTAGTCTATCCATGAGATAAATTTTTTTATCTCGTACTATATGAATGAAAATGTTATACAAATGATTTTAAATGAAAAATATATATAAACCATAGTGATGGGATTATCAAAGGGATTTTGCGGTAGGGAAAATTATTGGAGCTTTGGTGGTATTAATATTCTGTGGATCCAAAAAGTGATATTTTTTCTTCAGATATCGTGGTAATCTAAAATAGAATCTTTCTAAATAAAACATAGCAAAAGTTTTTATCCACTTAAGATTATTTTTGCCACTTTTATTCATAAATTCATATTATAAACATGTTAGTCCATTTTTTTCTGAGTTATCTGTATGGTTTTCTGCTTTTGTCGCCATTTTCAATCTTCAGCGAAAATTTTTAACTTTAGTGACAGATAAAGGGGCGAGTTTAAAAAACATCTAACATCTTTTTATCTTATACTTTTTTCCATAAATGTTGAATTAGATAAGCCGATTCTTTTCTCTTTTCTTTATTTCCCAGAATGCATTTTATTTGTCCAAATTATTTTCTTTTCAATACATGGTTCAATTTAAAAAAAAAAAAAAAAAGGAAACAAAATTTCCTTTGGGAAATTATTTTCCATTGAAAATTATTGGCGGTAGAAGGTCGAAAAAAAAAAGTTAGAGGAGAAGGTAAATATCGGAAAAATCAGATTAAGAGACTAGGTAAATGTCGAGAATAAATTTATGGAGATAAGATTCCCAAAGCTAAGTGTAGCACTCAATTATTCGTAATTATTTTGTCTTAGTTTTGCATTTTCTTTTTTAGTATTTGCCTGATTCTATATTATTTACGACACCAGTTGGACGGATCAAAAATGGGCATCTACCAATTTTATCAACTTTTATTTCCGTTATATTCGTTTTAATTGGTCTGTTAAGGGGAATTGTTATTCTTCAAATTATATTTGGCATTCAGATTAGTTGGACATATTTAAGATTTTTCCAAATCCATGAGCCGAATGAACCTAAAGGAGACTTGAGCGAACATTTTTGTTGGTACACGTAAGTTTTAATTTTATTTTCTCATAATTTTTTGTGGTGACTATTTTTAATTGTATATTATATATATTTATTTATATATATAATTATATATTATATCGCAGCCAACCCTCTTTGCGATAAGGATCCTTGGTCACTATCTGAAAGCTTATTTGCCTTACCTCAGTCTCTTATGCCTCTGGTAGGGGAAGCTGGGAGTGACCCATACCATCCATAAGAACTGTGAAGAGAATTCTTTTTTTCCTTCCGTGATCAGATGGGAGATTTCTTAAAAAATCGTGGAGAATAATAAGACGAGGTTTTTGTGGGTTTCTCTATCTAGGCAGATGAACAAGTACTGGGCAATCAACCAGATATCGTGGTGGACAGGAATTAGAAATTAGCAATGGTTATAGACCAAGCCACAGGAACTTCAGAAAGAAGGAATATGAAGGGCTGAAAGAACTAGAAAAGATGTGGAAAATGAAGGCAAAAGTGATTCCAGTAATAATTGAAGCATTTGGAACTGTGACCTCTAAACTAAAAAAGTGACTTCAGCGAACTCCAGGAAATCTTCGAAGATCTCTGTCCAAAAGAGCATGCTGTTAGGTATACCTAAGGTATTGCGCAGAACTCTCAATTTCCTAGACCTCTGGTAGAGGATCTGGGATTGAGGATGATCGGTACTACCCACAGGAAATGAGAAAAGGATTTTTTTAATATATAAATAACCTTATTTCCAACAATATTAATACCACTTGTTTTATCATTATTTTGGCACTTCTCTCGACTTTCCCTAGTTTTTATTAATATTTATTTAATATTTATCATTTTTTGAATTTTTTGTATATTCAGTGCATATAAAATTTCATAAAATTCTTAAAAGTATATTTAAAGTTTTCGCAAGTTATTTGTTAAAATTTTGTTTAACAGACAGTCTTTTTTTTCATTTTAGATTATTTCCATCTAAAGTTCAACCTTTGATGAATATATTTTCGTGCGCCATATTCGGCTTACTTGTGCGTCTTCAACTATGTAAACCGTTTGTTCGTCATATAGATATAGCGCATTTGGACCATATTAATGTGCTACTTCCTGGTTTACAAACTAGAGATACTGAAAGGCGACGGTATGTTTTGTTTTATTCTTAGAAAGCTCTTGAATTTCAGTTAAATTTTAGTTCGTTACATATAACCATATATGTCAGATGAGATATTTAGGGTTTTATTTTAGTACTTTTATTTATTTATTTTATTTGAGTTTAATTGATTATATTTTAATTGAGCTATTATTCTTAAATTTATGAAAACTGCAGGCAAAAGGCGCTTCGTGATTTGACTGAAAGGCTAAGTCGTGTTCAAAGAATAGAAACAGGTGTTTGGCCCGAAATGGACGATATTGATGAGAATACGCAAGTCATTCAGGCTGCCGTTCCTCAGATTCCTTTGGCAATTTCAGACCAGGTAAATATTTGATTTTCTTGCATTATATGCATTGAATTCAGGTTTTTCTTCTCATTTTTGGCAACAATTCTTTATAGGCTTCGTTACATGTTGTTGTTGAAGTACCAGAAAATACAAAAGTTGTTGATGAAGTGAATGAGCAAAGGTCCAATGAAATCTCATAATCGCCATCACACTATGTTCTTTTTTTTTTTTAAGTCTTATTTTGTTAATTTTTAAATGTTAAAACGTATCGCTACAACTGTAATTACAATCTTCAAATTAAAATCTTCAAATTAATTAATAAAACATTTTCCTTTACCTTTTCTGATAATAAAAATAAATAAATAAGAAAAAAAAATTAATAAATTGAGTAATTAGCGAGTTAAGAATTTGAAAAATATTTTTCTCTCAGAAACTTTTGCCAAGTTGTATTTTTTTTATTTATTTATGTAAAGTAGTGTTGCAATTTTGTCTGTGATGTATGAGGAATTACGTTTTGGTACAAATTTGAATTTTCTTTTTCTCTTTTTATGTATATTCTCATATTGGTGATAAATGAAATCAAACCTTCTGCATATGTTTCTTAATGATGTTATATCTACTAAAATTAAATCTTTTATACTATAAAATTTTTAAGAATTGGCATGTTAGTAAAAATATAAGTAAAGTTTATGCAGATGGTAGGTAAATAGAGGTATGGTTAATAGTGATTACAGATAAGACTGGATTTAAGGTGGTATTATTATTATGGAATGAATTTTTTTACCATTTTGGCTAGGGAAATTTTATCAAGTGCTGTATAGTGCAAATACTTTGAATCATCTCATATATTGCATTAATGATGATTTCTTGTCGTAATAAAGAGCTAAGCGGTCCATTCCATAACTGATATAGTCAAATTGGATTGGTGAATCTTGTGCCAAAAAAAATGCCCAAATTGACCAAAATAAGTGCGATACTGCTGTAAATCGATCCATTTCAATGATAAGTTCGTCGATAATGCTACTGCTATCAAAAACTTTGGCACTCTCTTCGTGCGCATGCATCTGAAAGATAATTTTTATTAGTTTTTATTAGTTTCGTCGAGTTGATTGAAATTTTAACTTACTTTTTTTAGGTTCAAAGATAGGGAAATCGTAAGGGAAATTGTCACTTTAGCAGTGGCGCGAAACCGGTAATTTATAAGTATTTGCATTTTTTTGTTGCATTCGAGCAAATCATTTTCCAATGAAATTTTTTGACTTAAATTTTCAGAAATAAATTAGAAATTTCGAGTATCAGCTGATGCTTTTAATGCGCTTTCACTGTACATTCCTTTGTATAGTGAAGGAAACTTTTGCGATAAATTGTACCTCATCCAAATAAGATGAGATTAGTATTCTTTGTTGTTCGACGTCAGGAAATAGCTGCTGATCGATTGAATAATAAGGTGCATTCGAAATCTTATAGTCAATCATATATTCACAAATATGGTTCGCCAGGTCGAATCCACTGCAAAAAGTATTTAATTAATTAATCGGCTTTCACATGATTTGCACTTTTTTATTTTATTACACTTCATTACAAAGTTGAAAAAAATCAAAATTGCAAATTCATTAAAACTTGCCGATAATTATAGCCGGAATATTCAAAATCGATGAGAATTAAAGATTCATTTACGTTTCCTTTGTCCAAATCCAAGTTGTTCGCATTCTCACTATTTCTCCTTAATAAAATATTGCCTTCCTGAAATCGTTGCAAAATATTTCCAACAAATTTCAGGGAGTTCGGTCAGAAAATGTAGGCTTCTTTCTTCCCAAACTTGGTAACCAAGATGGATTGGTTAATTTTGTCGATATTCATAAGGCAACGATACGAGTAATTTTTGAAAGACAATCTCTCGAGATTTATTGCTCTATCTTAGCGAGGGTTTGTGGAACTTTTTAAGTCTTCACTACACGGTTTCAATTAATCAGTGATCAGCAGCAAGCACTTTTGAAATATATGGCATATCAATTAATTACATGAAATCTAAATTCGAAGAATTTTTCTGAGGGAAAACTGCGCTTATTATAAATATATTAAATATATTGATATACACATATATATATATATTGAAATATATATTTAGATTTGAAGACCTGGAGATCATTGTGACAAAACACTATCGGACTTTTACTTCTTAGGACACACTGTTCGAGTATCTCAAGCTCCTCAGTTAGCAGCTGGCAGGTCACTTCCTTCGGACACTATAATTTAGCAATTTTTCGGTTGTTGCTTACAATTTTTCATTTTTTTATAATACAAGAAAGAATCTTTCTTTTGAAATTTTGAGATAGAGACAAATTTTGAGCAGCTGAGAACCTACTTGAGATAAATCGACTGATACTTTAGTAGTTTGCATTTTGTGTATCATTTGTTTATGCAAGTTTTTCAGCCATATATATGCTCGTTCGATGAGTAGTGGTTCTTTCTTCACTGGGACATTAAGACTGTGGACCTGTGCTAGGAGACGACCGATATAGCAGGTTATCCTAGAATTCAGTAAATTCAAATCCATATATCTGAAAAGTTTAATTAGTCGTTTAACTTGAAGCACTATTTTCAGATAAAGAGAAAGTCTCTGAATTTTTCAAGACAAAATATGTCGATTACTATTCTTATGACATGAAAAAAATTGAAAAATTATTAAAATACAAAGGAGATGATAATTCTTGACGCGACAGAGATCTTGATGGTATGTATTCTTCGAATCGACCGCCTCTAAATATCCCTAAAAGTTTTGGTCCAATCTTCCTGAAGTTTGGATAAATGCTATTCTTTATATTTTGCAATGATTTTGTTAATAGTGTATTTATAGAAAGAAGTTTTAAAAATTAATAGAATAAGGCTGGTTTGCATGAAAAACTGTGGATGAAAGAAATTTTAAATTATCATCAGGTTATTATCGAAGCAGCACTCTGGTGCAAGTATAAATTTAGTGCATTTAATAGATAAATTATTTATATTTCGGTCAATTTCTCCTTATTTACAGATTGTTAATAATTTTTTTAATTTAATTCTTGTAAATAAGGAAAAGTTTGATTAATGGTTGTATTAGAAATTTTATTTTTGGTCTAAATATTAAAGGTCGAAAAAAAATCGATTAGGATTAGTGAAAGTTCAACAAAGTTATCTCCATGTCCATTAAATTTTAATAAAAAACCTTTCAGAGAAAATGGTACAAATAATGGATTCATTCATTAAGTCGTTGTTTTTTGGATCGGAGTAAATGCGAAGAAGTACAGAAGTCGGTTCATTGCCAAATGGTTTAGTCTCATTGGCTAATCTCACCAAAAACATCAAATTACTCAATCCGCCTCTGAAAATTATAAATACTATTAGATCCTACTGGATCGTGAAAGTCTACAGTAAACATTTAAATCAAACGACTCAAAAATAAATGAGATAAATGTGATAAATGTGATAAATGCAAATCTTAGAAATCCCAGTGATAATATCGTTTTTCATGAGATAAATTTTTTTAATTATTTTTTTAATTATGGTATTTTCCTGTTCAAATTATTATTTTGATTTCTATATTTGCTTTATATTTTCTTTGCTTTTTCTGCGAGTTTAAAGAAATTTGGTTGACTAGAAAAAGAAATATCTGGAAATTAGATTAAATCATTGCGAGTTGCACGCTTTACGAATTTCGTTAAGAAAAAAGTCGACAGAGGGAACCTTGGAAATCAGTTAGTCCTTGTGAAATTTCAGGAAAACAAATACTCGTTAATGCAAAATTTTATACAATAATGCTAAATTTTTTCCCCATTGTTATATAATGTATTGGCTGCTTCTACTCCTCGTAAGTAGAAACTCAGGCAGAACTTTGACGAAAATCTTAATTTTGATCTATACAGTAAGAATATTGTTAAAATATCGCATATAACTTTATTTCATGCCTTCAAAAATCATTTTTTTCTCAACATGTTCATTTGCCTTCATTTCGAATAAATCATTCTTTTTTAGCCGAGATATGGTAAACCAATTGAGAGTTTACAGAAGCTTTTTTTATCCTTTCTAAATCCTGATTCCCCCAATAATTATAAATATAATCTAATTTTTACATATCTTTGGGGTCATTTATTTATTCATTTGGGGTCAGAAGAATCGGACTTAATCTTTATTGATTCGAATTCCATTTAATTCCATTTTATTCATTTCTACAGCCTGTGATTAAATTCTGATACATTAAATGGGGCGAAGTTCTTCTTCTTTCGCCATTGCTGGCTAAGCTAACTCCGCTGGCTACAAGGATAAGACGTCTCCAAACTGTTCTATCTGACGCCATCACTAGTAGTGACAGAAGCCAATCCTTTTTCCATCGTTTAAGTCCATTTATCATATCCCTATACGTTCAACATCTTTCCTGACCGTATCAGTCCGGGTCTTGATTGGTCCACTTATCTTTTGATCTAGGGTTTGCGAAGTGGCGTCAACTCTTGTGATGGACGACGAAGAACATGCCTTAACTAGCGAAGGCGACGTTTTGTGATAACATTATTAATACAGGTGGTAGGAGAGAACATATGATAATATTATGTGATATTTTATCCTCTTGGTGGATCCGTAAAATGTGTGTTGAACATGAGTGGTCAAAGGCTGATAGCTTTTAATATTTAATTTAATTTAATTTAATTCTTCGACTCTCATTGGTCATATTTCGCAGCCATATAGCAAGATCAAGCGAATTGCAGCTGTGTGGACGCAAATTTTCGTTTTCATGGTGATTTTGCGATGATTCCATAGAGTTTTCATCAACCGGTAAAGCATATTTCTAGCTGTTTACAATTTCATCCATTGCTTGGCCATTTGGGATTAGAGTGGATCCAAGGTATTTAAAAGGTTGGGCACTTCCTCAATCGGCAATGAATTGATACAAGCAGGTATTTTATCATCATTTTGTAAATAAGACGAAAACATTTTTATTTACATTGATTTTGAGTCCAATTCTTGCCGCAGTCCTTAACACATTGTTTAACATTATTTGCATTTCATTATAACTGTCAGCAAAAAAGGACTACATCATCAGTGTATTGTTATGCTTTGGGCTGATTTGCACACCTCTTGAATGCTGATAAACAATGCCCATTATCCAGTCTATCGCATAGTTGAATATCATAGGGGGAAGGACGCAGTCTAACACACACCAGTTTTTATTTCGAAAGAGTCTGTTAGTTTCCCATATACACAGATTTGTGCCAAGGTATGCCTTTATGCCTTTATGAGAATGCTTTTATGAGCAGAATGATCTTCTCTGGGACAACGTCACATTCTATCACTTTCCAGAGCACTGTTCTATCAATCGAACCGAAAGTAACTGCAAAATCAATAAAGCAAGTGATGGTGAGCTGTTGCGATCTTTTATCTTTCATCTTCTTTAGCGTAAAGATATGGCCAGCACAACCACGTTCCGGTCTGAATCCGGCTTGGTTAGGACGCATTCTATTATTTCATATTGCCATGAGTCTATTTAGCAGAAGGGAAGCGCAAATTTTTCTGGAAATATCTAATAGGCCGATTCATTGGCATGTCCTACTACCTTTCTTGTAAAGAATTAGAAGCAGAATTGCTTTGCTCAGTCTTTTGGTATTATTTCCTTTTGCCACACCATATATTTAATAGGTGAGTTATGAACGATGAGGGACAAATTTGAAGAATTCAGCCTGAAGACTATCTTCTGCCTTAAGGAGTTTTATTGGCCTTAAGCTTATGGATTATAGAGATTATTTCTCCTTCTCTTGGCGGTAGTTGTGAATGTAAGGCTCGACGGGCGTATCAGTTATATTCGGGACAACAGATATGGTTAAGTTTGGCCTTAAAAAATTCTTTCCATCTTCTGAGGCTATCTTAAACAGCTTTAATAGGCGCCTCGTTAATATCCCGTATCATTTCACTGACCCTTTCTCGAGTTATAGTTGCATTGTGAAGAAGGCGAAAAAGTTTCCTATAATCACCTATCTGAGCTGTCTTCTCCATTTTCAAGGCCATATCGCGCCAACAGCGATTTCTGTTCTGTCGTGCTGCTGTCGTTGTAATTCATCGAAGCACCCGATAGTCAGGACATTCGGGCGTTTGCTTTTTCAGACAATTGGACAGTTGCTTCCAACAGCCAACTAGCACTTTTCCTACTACTACCCTAGTGTGGAAGTGGCTGATTTTTATAGGCATGTTTTTAGTTGGGAGCAGTATTCATTCGTTTTTCCAGTGATATCATTGATGCTCGTTTCATTAAGATGTTTCAATAATACAATTTGAAATGCGCTTATTGTTCCCGCATCTTTTAATTTGAGATAATTGAAAGATCTTGGGATACGCTGTTTCTTACGATTTGTCAATTTTATATGAATCCTAGCTCGAACCAATGGTCTGATCTATGGCGATTTTACTAATTTCAGCGCCTCGATAAGAACGGCTATCAAATACAGAATTCTTCCAGCGGTGACTGACCAATATGTAATCAATTTTATTGGAATATTGTCCAGAGAGCTGCAAGTGACTAAATCTTTTTTCGATGCCGAAAGCATGTATTAGTAACAAAGAGTAACAAAGAGAGTAACTCTTCGGCAGAACGAAGAAGGCATTCTCTGTTGGCGCACTGGACCCCGATGCCATATTTGCCAATCATCGAACTAGTTTACTCCTATCAAAGACAAAAAAAAGAGAAATTTAAAGACAATTTTAGAAAAATTAAGAAAGAAGAAAAAAGCTATTCATAAAAGCTATTCATTATGTAATAGCAAATGGTATATTATGTAATAATAGTAGATAAATTATGACAATACTATTATATTATAAGATAATAATACAATAATATAACCAAGTGATAAAAATATTTTCTGTTATTTTTGTTGATTAATGAGCAGAGCACTTTTTCGGCACAATTGCTTTTAGAGCACACAAGTCATGAATCCATGGGTTGAAGTTAAATCAATTTGTAAGATTTGCACGACTAATATTCTGCTTCTAGTTTCTTCATAAGAAACAATCTAGTGAGATTGTTTTTGCTCCAAATGACTCCGATTTAAAAACGAACTTACTAGTATTATTCTCAAAATGATCTAAATTACCTCAGTCTTATGATGAAGTTTTCATTTTTTCTTTGGTTTCTTTGCTATTTTCTTTTTTATTGTTATCTTTGTTTTTGTTTGCTATTTACAAATACACGACGTTTATCCTGGTCGCTAATCTTCTAAACAAATAAATAAATTTAAAAAATGCGATTTCGACTTGTACCAATGATCCACCGTACAAAGGAGTTTCTCAAGAGAATGCATGCTGGAAAACTGCATGTAGAAAAAAGGAAATTCGACTGGAAACTTCCTCCTCACCATGCATATTTTTTTGAACTTATGTCTTCTGGTCATCACCTATTGTTGCAGCATTTTCTTACTGGAAGAGTTGACTTTTGTTGTTGCCGGAAATAGTTAACAGAATCTTTTGATTCCAAGGGAAAAAAGATTTTACATAAGTAGAATTCGAAAGTTTGGTCTCAAGGAAAGAAGTTATATTATAGATAGTGGTGATGACAATTTTGGTATTTTCATTTCGCGACTATAATTTCAATTAAATCATTCGCAAAAAAACATTTCATTTTCCACTTCAGTTCTTCATTCTATAATATTTATTGCTTTATATTTCTAAACATTTCTTAAAATAACGAAAAATTTTTTTCCTTCGTTCTACTGTTGCGTATTATTTTATTTTCCCTTTGTATGCTAATCGAATAAAAAAGTGAAAGATGTCCTATTTGAATAAAAAGAATACCTAATACAAGAATGCCTAATACCTAAAAAGAATACCTAATCCAATACTATTCCAGGCTATTAGTTAATATAAATCTTAAATTTTTATAATCGAATTTGGAAGCTATTTGCTCATTTTCAAATTTTTTGACTTTTAATAATTATAATCATTAATTATAAAAGAAATTACTCTATAGGCTCAATGATGACATTTTTCGGTAATACATTTTTCCAAACGCCGCCGAGATATTCGCTACCGAGTGCAAGAGTTCTCTTGAAAGCTGCGTATGGAATGATATCCGATTTCGAATTGAGGTTGGAAAAAAGCATCTGAACAAATTGATAAACTGTTGAAATTTGCTGTCTAATTATTCGCAAATTTCTAGAGCTTAATTTGTGATTTTAACAATGAGATTGCTCGCATAATTAGGACATTAGAAATTAATGATATTCTAAAAATTTGATACCTTGAGGTCGACCGTAGAATTTTCATTGCTTCGTCCACTTTCATATCCATCACGAAATTCGCTAACTGCTTGAGGACTTGCCGAAGATTCAATGTTCACTAATCGGGTTGAAGATGATTCTTTTGAGGTAGGAAACATCATCAGCAAATTTTCAGTTCCTGAAACATATTGGCGATTGCATATCACGAATGATAAGTGTTACCTACGGAAATGGATAATAAAATAGAATGAATGAAATAATTCGGGCAAAATGCGATAAAATATTTTAAACTAAAATATTATTCGCAGATGTACAAATAATCGTTTTGAAAAGAATGAAACACCACAATTTCAAAATGAAAAATATAACATTAAAAGAGTGACAATATTTTTTTTTGTAGTTACTTCATTAACTGTTTTAATTTCCGTTTTTCTTTTTTTTTCATTTTCTGATTACATACTTGAACATCTTTTATTTAACTTGTGACTAAGGCTAATTATTCAAATTTTTTTCCATCGAGTGATGCTATGGATCCATTTGTCCTTCTGGCCAACTTTACGTAATTTCCTCATTAAACGTTATTTTCTTAAGTCAGTGAAATTGATTGAACAGAATTGGTGAATATTGCTAGAAAAAGAAGTTGTTTTTATAGCGTTTATTTTTTGATAAGACAGCGATTTTTTTGAAACATTTGGTAAACCTGGAAAACATAAAAACTATTAAAGCTATGAAACTGATGGAAACTTAGAAATCGGAAAATTTCGATATTGTTTGGCACTTTTTTTCCTTGTCTATTTCCGCAAGTGAAAATAAGATAAACAGTCTGAATAATTCAAAAAGAATGAAAAAATTAAGAAATTTGTCAAACAAGTCGAATTTTTAAAGCTTAAAATCGAAATTTGTTCGAGAACATAACCTGATGCAGAATTCCTTACATATCCCCCGTTTAAGACCAATCTTATCTGAACCTTGCTTAACGACATCTGTGAGGTAATCCAGTTAAAGTTCAAGTTGATTTCCAACAGTAGTCTATTAAAATAAATAGATGAAATTCGATAAACGCAGTTAACAATGAAAAACAAACAACTAGTTTTTTGACAATTTCTTTAAGATTACTGTTTAAAGAAGCCATTTTCTTGCTCAGTAATGACACAGTGATAAAAAAATTATAGATTATTCTTGAGGTAATTGTAGGCAAAAATATTTTCTTGGAAATAATTGACATATATTTGTTAAATTTTAGATTAAAACCACGAATTTCTAGCTTTTTTCATAAATCCGTATTTTTTGAAATTGTTAATAGAATTTCATGAAATAAGCTTGAAAGATTTTGAGGTAACCAAAATTTTATTGTTTACACTTTTACGGTTATCTCAGAAAATTTTCTTCATAATGTCGAGGTGCTAGCGAAATTTATTTATTTATTTTATTTATTGAAAACCAGCCAAGCAGGGGGGAAACGCTATGCTTGTATCAATAACATCAGTTAAAATAATAAGAATTAATGACAAATAACAAAAAAATAATATTAAAATAAAATAAATAATTTAAAGATGAAATAAAGAGGATATTGCAAAATAATATAATATAGTACAATTTGATAATAAGATGGTAAAAAGATGGTATAATCAGATGGTAAAAATCGCAATTTCACACTTTCTGCATTATGAATTTTTTAAATAATATCATAAATGATATTATCTATTCTTTTTTTAAAGATAGCTAGAGATGGCGCACAAGCTATGTCGTTCGGTAATTTATTCCAGTAATTAATATTACGAATAAAGAAATCATGAGTCTTTAGTTTAGTTTTACACATAGGTTTTAATAATTTTAGCCCATTAGTTCCTGTTGCATTTAAATTTAACCTAAAATTATAATATTTTGAACAATCTAGTTTAACTGACAGAAAATCCAGGTTGTAGAAGTTTTCCTTTATAATTAAAATTGCAATTAGGAGAGACGCGCCGTATAAAATATTTTTGGAGTCAATTATTTACTTGATTTACGATATCTCGGGAAGTAACATGTAGCATTATAGTCGAGAATTAGCCGAAAGAATGCTTTGTACATTTTAATAAGAAAATCTTCAGTTTCGTTTTTAAACGAACGAAAAATAAAATTTAGTATTTTTGAGGCTATTCGAGTTACCTTTAGTCCTTAAGGCGTTTATCTTAAATAAACCCATTATTGTATTGTTCCCAATGAACTATTGCTGTTATTCGGTCACTGATATAACATTTATACCTTAAAATATGAGCCTGTAAGCAGTCAGTCGATTACCAGCCAATGAATAATTGCAAAGGAAATGACCCCCGCACGGATAAGCATAGAATATTCGACATAAACTTATTACAATGAATTCGCTGCAATAAATAATAAAACTCAAAAAATTTGGTGTTTTATCAGAATTAGATGGATCATAAAATTTTTGATAGCTTGTTAGTCGGCATTAATAATCTATTAGTTTCTCACCATTTTTTTAACACTGCATCGATAAAAAATCAGTTTGCGTCTGTTATAATGCTGAATTATGAAAGGTTTTAACAGACTTTTAAAATAATAAATGAAATAAACCAGGTTGCCTTAAAGAAAATGGAAAAAAATGAAAGGATTCAGGGATCCAAAAATTTTATTTAATTTAAATTCATAAAAATTTTAAATATTATAAAATATTTTAAAGATTTAAAATTTAAATTCATAAAGAAGCATTTTTTTTGCATTTTTGCATCATTTTTATCACCACCAATGAAAGAATTCTTATGATGAATCGATTATTCACCACAAACACTGAATGCATATAATACAGCGCACAAGAAATAAATATACTTATAATACAACACAACTTTTTAAGTAAAACCACTCGGCAACTCAACTCAGAATCATAACATTCCTCTAATTTTCCTCTAATAATTCTTTAGGTTGTTTGCTTAAATTCAGTTTTTTTAAATTTAAAAATTCACTGAATTCCTCTGCTATATTTTTCAAAACCAAAAAAATGAAAAAACAAAAAATTTCATTGGAGTAGCGTATAAGAAAACCATATTAAACAAATATTTTCATTAAAATATTTTCATTAAAATGAGTGAACTGTATTTATCGAATCGTTTATTTCAAATAACGAAAATTTTGAGATTTTATTCCAATAAAAATAAAGTAAAAAAGTTTAGATTGAAGCTTTTGAAAAAAATATATTTTGAAAAAAATATCCATTCATATGGGAAAAGGAAATGCTTTGCAAAAGACTACTGCCGAAAATGAAAATTAGCTTATAATTTATCTATGAAATGAAAATTTCAAAGATTTCTTGTCATCAAATGTTCTTTATATAATATTTCATGTAAATTTTTTGAAATTAGAAGTATTTTCTAGAAATATTGTGATTGATAAGATGGATAGGGAAAGAATGGTCGAATGGTACAATGCTCCGACTAACTTCAACCCATTATTCTTTACCTTTTAAAGAAGTTTGTAGTGAAATCTTGGAGATTTTAAAGATTCATCTGTAGTCCTCAACTGATTCTCTCATTCCTGCAGCCAAAGAAGTTTATTTTGAACGAAAAACAATCGGCAAAATTTATGTAAAACATTTGTATTAAATATGTATTAACTTCAAACATTTATTCTCATTAACACGATTTAATTGAAAGAAACAATTGAAACAATTGAAATGAAGTTTTTAAATTTTAAGTTTGATTTGTTTTAACAACTTATAAATAATTTTTGGACCAGAAAATTGGTTGTTCAATTATAAATATTGTTGGCACGTGCTGCACAAATTGTATGGTACATGGTACTGAAATGCCAAATTGCTGACATAATATGAAATAAATTAGGGACATGGCTTATTAAAATGGCAATTTAGAAAATCTTATCAAAGTGGCAATCTAGAAAACCACCAGTAAAATCGAAAATAAACGGTTAAAATCGAGTTTACAAAAGTGTAATAGCCATAGAATCGGCAATAACCATAGAGTTACGATATGGGTTACAGGATTGGATTGCCAATAGCCTTTTTCAAGGAAATGAAGGAAAAGCACTATGTGAAATAATAATATCAAGAGACGAAGAAGTTATTTTCAACTCAAATAAATTTATTCTCACCTAAATTCAAATTTTTAAAGAAAATAATCATATAAATTTAAATTTTTTCAAGAAAAATTATTTATTTTCAAATAATTCAATTTATTTAGAAGAATAACCAGTGATTGGTAGTAATTGGCCTCTGTTAAACAATAAAATAAAGTGTTCAACAGAATGCACTACTAATGAAAAAACCGGTACGAATCGGCTGAATGCATGTTTATGCTGAATAATGTAATACCATATGTAATTAATTCTACATTGTTGTTTGTAGGCATACGAAAGGTGCTTTATTCGAGCAGTTTATGGAACGAATTATGCAGGCATCATAGAACCATTTTCGCAGTGCGAAGTCGATTCATTTATGACACGAAACTGTATGTCGCCAATTGTTATTTCATTATAAGCGTTTCATTCTATTGTTATATACCTTCAGATTCATGCTAACAAAAGGTTGGATGCAGAATATTCCCCAAATCTGGAATAGTCCCTCGACACCCCTTCAAAAAATTGTTCTTCATCCTTGTTCTATTCTTATTCTTTTGAACCCTATAACCCGAGACTCCATCATGTCATGTCTAAAAAGATCCGTTCTGACTGAGCGGAAGTCGGCAAATTCACTGTATGACCTATGCCAACTTAAAGGAAACTTTTGTAATATCTTGGTCATCAGTGTTTATGCTCCAATTTTGTCGGCAGAGGACCGTGATAAAGATAAATTATGAGTTATGATAAATTAAGATAAGATCGTAATATTCAGAACTTCTACTGCTAATAAGTCTCCGTCGAAATATGACATGGTCATAATCAGGCGAGACTGGAATACACGCATAATGCCGTGCTGCAATGACCTCGACAATTGGCAAATATGGCATCGGAGACTGATGAGCACTAGGAAACGCCTTCTTCGTTATGCCGAAGAGCGTGAACTTTTTGTTTCTAATACATGCTTTAGGAATCGTAGAAGACACGTGAACTCTCCCGATAATCAACAATTCTACCAGATTGATTATATCTTAATCAGTCAGGAGATGGTGCGCGAATCCCGTACTGGATAGTCCTTCCTATCGCTCTG